TGGCTAGTTGGTCCTTTGAGGTTGTTTTGTTCCCTAACAAGTAAAAGTAAAACAAAACAAAACAAAAACATTGCCGATTGCCATGAGAAACCATGAGACACTGACAGTATGAAGTGTGGGTTTCTGCCCTGGTGAGAATGGCTGTGATAAGAACGAGGAGCAGGCGCACAACAGAGATGCATCAGTGCCCTCCAGAGACCCTGTGCTGCAAAGTGAAGAACTCCAGGGAGGACCCAAGTTCCCTGGACTCGAATTCCTGCTTGGCCGTGACTGGCTGTGTGGTTGTCAGAGCTTCCCAAGCTCTCCACCTGTGTGATGAGCACTCAACTACCCCAACACTGGGGGCAGAGCTGGGTCCCTTCCCCACCAGAATCACCTTATTCCACCTTTCCCCTAAAGGTCAAATAGTACAGGAGATAGCGAATGGGGTTTGGGGTGTGCTAGACATAAACGAAGACAGAAATCCTCTGACATTGTGTTTGAAGAACTATGACAAAACCCTGAATGGTATAAAAATCTAAGGTGAAATGCTTGTTCATTTAAATTTAATTTTTTCCTATAAGTTAAATTTCCATAAAGTGTTGTTATACATAACCTGCAAGATTTATGGGAAAGTTTGTAGCTCATAATCATTGAGATTTCAGCCACAATCACAGAGAGCGCAACCTTGGTTAAAACCTCCAACTTGCCCAAATGCTCATTTCTGCATGTATGTTCCATCCCCAATGTAGAATAATTCAGCAACTGGAAACCAATGTGCATGCAGTGCCTTTAGAGAAACTACAAATAATATCTTCAGGCCACTGTCAGAATTTGTGAAAACACATTACTGTGTGGTGGAAGGAACAAAATGTTTTCCATGGCAACCCTTGGTGTCGAGCCTATTAGTGGTAATTCAGGGAGCGTCTTCAACTGCAGGGAAATGGTCCTCGGCAATTACCACCCAGGGAGTGGCCCTCCATTCTGAGAGCAGAAGTTGAACCTCTTGGGTTTAGAGCCTTCCTAACCTGATGTGTTAATGAACGCTAACAGCAACTATTTCATTTTGGTTTAGTTTAAGAGGACAAATAAGCTAAGGTTTTCGTAGTGAGCCAAAGAAAGATGTGATTTTCTTTAGACAAATTTGAAGAAATCATTTTAGCACTAAATAGCTCTAGTTTTTCTTTACTTTGTTTTGGGTTGGCTACATTTATGCTTCTATCTGCTTTTTTAGGGATTTTATTTTTTGCAAGGCAAATGTCTTACCATTTCACTTTCTGCTTTCTGTCCTTAATATAGATTTTTATTACATAGTAATTGTAATGAATAAAGGAAAATTTTTAGAGCATGACTAGGGATTCCAGTTGTGGACTGCATAAGTTAAAAGAAAAATGGCTTAATTTATGGAGATTTTAATTTCAAAACTAGCGATAGACAGGCAAAAGTCCTATATTAAACCACAAACTCTCAGATTCCTCTATATATTCTTTTATGTCTTGCTGTATATATTTTTGTAGTAAAACATATATGAGTAATAAAATTATAAATTTATCCAAGAAAGGCATATCAGAATAAAATATGTTATACAGAAAGTATAAAAATACAAAATCATATTTTACTCAAAAAATCACCTTATAAATTTATTTTTATCATATTTTAATATTGTTGAAATTTTGCAGTTTAAACAACTTCATAAGAATAAAGAAGCATCTAAAATGAGCAGCAGAAGAAATTGGGTAGAAATGATACGTAGATTCAGAAAAATTTAGGCTTTTTAGAAATGTAAAATCTCTTCCTTTCAGTCAATTTTAAGGAATTAGGAGAATGAGAAAGTGACTGAGAATGGTGAACATGCCAGAGGTGACCATAAACATGCACCTCTGGAACTGGTCAGATACCTCCTCTGGATAACATTTTTTCCCCCTTTACTTATTTTCTGGCACTTTAGGAAAAAAAGTTTTTTCTATTACACAGAAGTCTCAAATCTCAGTAGCTGGATTTGCCCAAACTGTGTTTGAATCCTGGCTGCTAAACCTCAGTCTGCTAAATCTGAGTTTCCTCATGTAAGTGGGATGGTGCTATTTACTTCACAACATTGTGTATGGATCGACAGAGGCTTAAATGCAGGATCAGATGAATTCCAGTGTACAATGGCTTCAGCACAATTGGTGTTTGGGTCTCATTCATGGAATAGGTTACTGCAGGTATGCTATAATTACACAGTAATTATCTTTAAGTGATGGTGCGGGGACCTAGGATCTTTTCTTGCTGAGGTTCTGCCCTCATTTAAGACCCGCTACCAAGTGGGAAGGTAAGTGGTGAAGAGGGGTGCTGGCTTGCAGTGCAAGTGCTTATATCCTCAGTAACATCTACATTGAAAGAATATGGCCATACCTATAATATGGAAAGATTAGAAGTAGCCAGGTCCCACTGTTACTGTGGAAAGAGAGAATATTAGCATATCAACAATACCTGCCACTGTCTGCATATTTTGCAACAAAACACTTAATAAAATACATCCCCCAGTAGGTCTTAAGCATATTTCTTTTTCTTTTTTTTTTCCCCTGTATTTGTCTCTAATATTTTTTAAATTATTGTTTTCTTATTCTCTTTAATGGTTTAATACATCTTCCATTCTTTCATCTGGTAATGTGAGCAACTTCGTTGAAGATAACAATATGTAATGTAACAACCACTGTTAATCTCTATCATTTGGTTTGAAATCTTATATCATTTTTAATGTCCTTGCATTGTTTTGTTTGTATTTTGCTATTTTTTAAACTATTATCTTTAAAATAAAAAAATAAAGAAATCTTCTCTTAGAGAGTGGAAAACAATAACCACCCCCGCAAAGAAAAACCTGTATCAAACAAAGCTACTCTGGACTAGCTCTTTGCTGGGAGAAAAATAAGTAGTGTCTGAAATGCACATATGTGCAACATGGCTAGGCGTGTGTCTGAAATGCACATATGTGCAACATGGCTAGGTGTGTGTCTGAAATGTACATATGTGCAACATGGCTAGGCGTGTGTCTGAAATGTACATATGTGCAACATGGCTAGGCATGTGTCTGAAATGCACATATGTGCCACACGGCTAGGCGTGTGTCTGAAATGCACATATGTGCAACATGGCTAGGCGTGTGTCTGAAATGCACATATGTGCAACATGGCTAGGCGTGTGTCTGAAATGCACATATGTGCAACACGGCTAGACATGTCTCCTGTGTTTGAACATCCATTCCTGTAGCATAACGGACCCTGCCGTGGGAGCCAGGGCTGAGAAAGGCATTGAGGTATCAAGCCGAGGTCGAGGTGGCTCCTCCTCCTCCAATCGATGATGATGATGGGAAAGTAGACTCGGAACATCCCTACAATGGTTCTCAATGCAATAAACTGGAAGAAAAAGGAACTTATTAATTACTTTTCTAAATTTAAATTTCAATGAATTCTCTATCTTGGTGCCCTGAGCAAGGTGGGTAATGCAGGGGCTGATTTTATGCCACCCCTACCCATGGCACAAGAAGCCTGCACCGGTGCCCCACTCAAGTATCACAGGATGTGTGAACTGTGCAGTCACTAACAGTTTTAATAACTCGTTCTTTTCCCTATGAAATGGAAGCAGAAAACTTGAATCATAAATCTTCTGATTGAGAGATAATAGCTATTTTCTGTCAAGTTCAAGTATGAGTAATAATGAAATCCTGGGACCAAAATACTTTTTAAAATTAACAGCTATGAGTGCTTATCAATTGTTAAATTAATGAAGCTCACTGTGGTATTTCCATACATACAGGCACTCTTCTTTTTTTCTCTCTTGCCCTCTCCTCCCATGCCAGTCTCTTTCCCTACCCTAACTGGCTTTCTTGTACTTTGCATTCATCTTTATCTTTCTCCAGTTTCCACATAGGAAAGAAAAACACAATGCTCTTCTGTCTCTGGGTTATTTGCCTTAACATGGTGCCTCCAGGTTCCTCCACTTTCCTGCAGATGTCGTGATCCTGCTCTTCCTTGTGGCTGAACGATATTCCACTGTGTGTGTTTTAATCCATTTATCATTGATGGGCTCCTGGGCTGATTCCTCAACTTGGATTTTGGCATAGTAGGATGCTTCTATGTGTCAAGAACCCAGGGCCACAAGTGGATCTCAGAATGTGTCAGCTTCTCCCTTGATCCTGAGGTTTTTTATATCTGTTCCCTTCACTCTGGTTGGTATATACACAAATATCCCTCCCACCGCTATTTTTTCATAGACATTGTATTCTTGCTTCTGAATTCAGCACCAGAACCTTAACTTTCAGAGGCCTTCTGAATTTCTCCTAATGCAATCTGTCCTTCCTGCGCCAGCTGTCACTTTATTTACCCCTTGTCATGGATTCTTTCCCGTGACACTGTACAAAATTGTTTGTAGCTTCCTGTCTCTTCAGCACCCAGCATGCTCTTGTTGCTTGAGAACAAATGTTGAGTAAATGAATCCTGTCCCTCAGAGACTTAGTTAGAGTCCTTCCACCTTTGTATCCATGGTAAAATGTCTGGCCTATGGCAGGCTCATGATACCTATTTGGAGAAAGATAAGGAGCAGGGAAAGGAGGGAGTGAAATGAAAGAAGGAAGGAAAGGGAAAAACAGTAAGGGAACCTAGTCAGAGAGCTAGAATATAAGACCAATTTTTATTTGTCGAGAGTGAAAGCTAAAGTTTAAAGAGAAGAAACAAAGGCACTAGGTTCTCATAAATGTCCTAAATTTGAAACTCCACTGAGTATTCATAAGATGGAAGCCACAGTAACTGAGGAGAGAAGAAAGAAGTATGGTGCAGACCTCACTGAAATTGCCATCAGAGAGATGGAAGCTTAGGTATGAAACCACCAAGATCTTTCATATAGGCACAGGGAAGAGTGTGGCATATTTCAGAGTAAGGGCGTCATGGTTGAGCACTGTTTCATTGATCTCTTATGGCTGAAAGTTTCAGCTGTATGAGACAGTGATATAACTTTCTCTCTCTCTCTGTCTGATAATGTTCCAGGAACTGGTGGTTGGTCCCCAGCAGATTCCAACGCTCAACAGTGGCTCCAGATGGACCTGGGGAACAGAGTGGAGATTACAGCAGTGGCCACACAGGGAAGATACGGAAGCTCTGACTGGGTGACGAGTTATAGCCTGATGTTTAGTGACACAGGACGCAACTGGAAACAGTACAAGCAAGAAGACAGCATCTGGGTAGGACATCTTTTTCTCCTCCGATGAACAATATTGAGATGTATGAATGGTAACCAGTGAATGATCCTGTCATTTTCCTGGACCCAGACTGTTGGTAGCTTAATAACAGTTGAGTGCTCATTCAGAAATAATTAGATCAAGGATAAACCCTATCTCCAGCATGCTCTTGTGCCTAGGGAAATGAGGATGTATGTTATAAACAGTTTCGCCAGCTTTTCAGTTTCTGGCAACTTGAGTAATTCCCTGACTAAGTCTCAGTTCCTTTATCTATAACAACAGAGAAACGCACTGCTGTAATCTGATTGTCCATGAGACTGCATGGATTTACTAAGTTTTTATCTAGGGGTTTGTGTGCTATGTACCACTTACTTTGAATACCTTGGAAGAGCCCAATTACCTCAACTCTTTCACTGGGCCAAAGTTGCTTAATTTGAGAATCCCGGCGGGAGCCTCTAGTCTGATCTAATAGTAAGCCACTGTGCTGAACAGCCCGTATGCAAGATTTGAAAACCATATGTAAGGGTTAAAAAAGTACAGACACTGGAGTTAGCCCATCATTGTGAACAATCTTCAGCCTGTGAGTGAAGTGTTTGCGCTTAGCTGTAAAACAAAACTTTCTTCCTACTCCTAGCTGTATCCTTGACCTCAGGGTAGGTCCCTTAAATTTTCAACTGAGAAAAAGGAGGAGAGGCACAAGTAAAATTTATGAAAAGTAACTTTAGAAATTCATGCTTTAAATGAAATTAGCAACATGCTACCTTATGCTACTTTTAGTGTAGGAAAAAAAAAATCACTTACTGCTCTCTAAATGCACATATAATGTTGAGATTTGGCTATTGATAGTATTCTTTCCTTCTCAGGATTTCCTTGCTTCTCTTTGGCCTGAAATCAATAGCAATTATAAGTTTAAAATGCTGTTTTTTGCACATGTATACTCTGTGCTAACTCAAATTTTTAAAAGAGAGATTCTGTTTTAAGATCATTGTTATAACTGCCTACTTAAGTTTATTGCTAACTCAAGACTGGGATTCTTAGTGTATTAGTGTTTTAAACTAAGAATTAAAATCAGGCCTGACAGGATGAATATTATTATTGTCATCTTTATTTTGGGATGCTTCTAATATTACAATGTGATATTTGAAGAAGGCACAGGGTTTTTTATTTTAAAAATAGTATTTGAAAATTATTCTTTCATTTTTTCTGAATGTTGAAGTCCTCATAGACTGTTGGATTTTTGTTTGGTTTGGTGTTTCTTTTGATCTGTGAAGTACACACGCCTTCCACTTGGAAGAACAATTTTAAGATTTTATGTTGACTTTAGCTGGACAAATAGATGTGGAATTATTTTCAATCAGAGCTTATTTTTCAAATGCAGTTGCAGTTTTGAGTTATTTTGCCTCAATTTAAAAGCAAAACAAAAGTTTGATTTTCTTCCAAATTAAATGACTTGCTTTCAGCCCATGCCCCGGATCAGGATCTATTTGAAATGATGACAGTGTCTCTGGGGTTGGGACCAGCTATTACGTGGCTTCTTTCACTTCCATACTCCTGTTGGTTTAGTTGTGTTTCAGAATTATTCCAAGCTTCTTAATTGCAGGAATCAGTCTTTTATGTCTATGCAGCCTCTGGACCTAGATTTTCTGGACACAAAGGATTAATATTTGGATGTTTAATAAAAGATCTGTAGAACTGCTCAGACTCCTAAAACTGTGAGGCAGAAGGGAGAAAATATCCCTACCTCTCGTTTCATATAGCAAATAGCCTTGACATTAGTAGGGAGGTGTTGATTTCCAGCTATGACTTCCCTGGAGAATCTCATGATGCCTGTGAGACAGATGAAGAGATGCCTGGAGGGCCAGTTTATTAGCTATAAATACAGTGAGGGAAAGGGATTCGCAGAGGGATTACCAAAATTGAGAGACTAAAGAGTGACATTTGGTTAGGCAGAAGCACTGTGATAAGTGTGGAAACTAAACTCAAATCTGGAAAAGAAATGAATGTCCATTGACATTAATATTGGGGAAACAAATAACTACTGAACACCTATAACACATCACAATTTTAAGCAAATATAGTTGCATTATGTGTTGGTGTATGTGGGATTCTATAGCCTCTGGTGATTAGATAATCACATCTCCACAACTTGGAGTCTTGAAGATCACAGAGATGGGTGCACGTTCATATAGCCAGAAAAGGGTAGCACCATAATATTTATTAATAAATATATTTAATTGCAAAGCTATATTTTCTGGTTCTTCTTTACTTCATTTGACTGGTTTTAAATTTTCACTTTTTTTCTCACCTTAAATGTTAACCTGTCAGGCCTATTCTGTAAGAAAAATATTAAGCACTACTGTTTAATGCACATATTGCCAAATATAAAAAAAAAGAAAGTACCAACAGCATTGGACTGAATTTATATACATTATAAAAGATGTCTAAACTCTGTAATTCTCTAGAAACATCTGTCAAAAGGAAACACAGGGAATATCACATATGGATCACAAAAATGCTTTGTGACTGATGTTTATTAGTATTTATATTAGATTATGCTGTTGAATAAAATAGATTACCTTAAGGTTTTTCTTCCTACTTTTTATTATTTTAACTTAAATTTAGAAATAAGGCAATGGATTCATGAAAGGTATGCCTAATAGGCAAAATGAGAGTAATAGCAAAACAAGAGATTTTGGTTAAAACTGTCTCAACTGTACTGTTTATGTTTTCAGATAAAACCAATACCTAAAAATATCAAAATCAAGTATTAACTTAATTAAGGATACAGTATGCTGGAAGCAAAGAGTCTCTTAAATACATACTTGCATTTAATCTTTTACAAAGCCTCAAGTTTTAGATGTTCTGAAATTTGTAATGCTTTCTAAAATGTATTTGCCAAACAATATAATCAGAACATTTGTGGATGGGACATCAACTTACCAGGACTCAAGCCATGTATTTTCTTGTGCAAAGTTCACTTCAGGAAAAGAATCTTTAAAAGATACCCTTCCCTTGTCTGCCAGCAGATCTTCATGCCCTGAAAATCCAATTTGGAGAGTTTCTGATCTGGCACTAAATGGAATGTTCATGAATGAGGCAACTAAGCAGCTGCTTAGCCAAGCATCGTGATTTATGAACAAGCCAGAGCCCTCTGCTTCACTAAATAACCAGGCATGAAGGTGTCTTAGGGACAAACGTAGCAAAATTTTTAGAATCTTAGTAATGGAAGACATGTTGAAGCCATTCCAATATTAAAATTCTAACTTTGAATCATAATGCAAGCCAATGCTTGTCACAGGAACATGAACTTATTTGGAATAAAGGAACAATTCACAAAGACCAGGTGCTATTACCGTTTGCTTTGAAAAATGTGCCACAAGAAAGATTGTTAGCATTCATTCTCATGGTAATGCTTTCCATCCTCAGCTCTCCTGGTGAGTGTCCAAATCCTTCCTGAGTCCCTCTGTTTAACCACCATACAAAGTGTAGTTCTGAAAATGCATATCTCTCTGTCTGTATTAGCATTTCTATTTATTTATTTATTTATTTATTTATTTATTTATTTATTTTTAACAGTGCTACAGATGGAATCCAGGGTCTCATAGACGCTAGGTGAGAATTCTACCAACAAACTGAACATTTAGCTCTTTTTTTTTATATTTGTCACTTAAATTTCAAAGACTACCACTCATGTTTGTTTTACTACATAAAACAAAGGCCCCTTATTTTTATTCAGCCATATTTCACATGATTTTGTTGATCAGAATTGTTCTCCTCCTCTCATATCAGACTGAAGTATTTCCATCTTTTCTCAATGTGTTATAAAATTTCAGGGACAATTTCCATTATGATCCTTGTTAGCCCTCTCCACTCCACTTTTTCAAGGAAATCAACTATGCCAACTTTATTAGAGTTATATAAATGTACAAAAACTTAGTGTTGTAATTTCAGGATCTTCCTTAATGGCACTCCTGATCTGACAGTCACTGAGCTGAGATGACAAGTAATACTTCCAACCAATAAACTCACACGTATTTAAGAAGTTATTATTGTGAGTAGACAACAAGCAACTCCAGATGCTAAAGAATTTTTAACCCATATAGTAAACTCTACCAGAAGACACTAAAAATGTGCCTTCTTCTCTCAGAGTTAACTTTCACTGTCATAGCCCTCAACACCATCACCCTTCACCATGTTTCTTGGGTGTAGAGGACATTGTGTAGCATAGTTGTCTTCCTTGATGTACCTGAAAAATTCACCACATGAGACACACAGTGCAGCACAATGCATAGAAAAGAAGGAAACAGTCTGGAAAGCTCGCCCCCCACCCTGGGGTGTGTGGGGAGTTGAACTTGTCTCCAGTAATAATAGGTAAGTCTGAGATTGTTGGCAGTTCTAGGGAGAAACAACAGACTGGGACACCAGCACTAGCCCCAACTCCAGGAGTATTATAGACTGCAAAAGCAGCATGGAGTTTTACTCCACAAGTGATTCCTTCCACACGGCAGGCTGGAGTTGGAGAAGAAATCCAGTGCAGCACCCACCACATTTGAGAGGATTTAATCAGGACCTGTTTTGGAAAGGAGTTAACAGTGTCAGACTGAGGCATAGAACAACTATTAAGGATACTATCAAGGATATTCTAGAGAGAAAATGTAGCTAACAGTGTGAAAAGTTCTTGTACAATGAATGTACCAAGCAGAGTGACCAGTTGAGAAGAAAGGAATAAAAGGGAATGAGAAACAGGAAAATAATGCAATGATAGGAATAGGACAATACTTTACAGTAATAACTCTCAGTGTGAATGCTCTCAATTAAAAGACACAGATTGGCAGAATGGATAAAGAAACAAAACCCAACAATATCCTGTACACAAGAAAGACATTTACCCTAAAAGGAAATTCATAGACTAAAAGTCAAAGGTTAAAAATTAATAACACATGCAACAGAAACTGGGAAACAAGCAAAAGTTATCCTATTTTCAGACAAGTAGACTTCAGGCC